AACCTACCCCTTGAGCCCCTCTTCCTGCAGCGCCTTCAGCCTAAACGTAACAGAATCCCTGCTCTTGCTTTCCGTTATGAATACCGCAGTTGTAGTCCCAGAGCTGCCTTTTATAAAATACAATGTTTGTCGGTATTCGTCGGTAAAGGTAATGTTTTCTCTAAATCGAATATAAGGCATTCGTATTTTTCATTTTCCTTAGCCAACTGAAATTTATGTGTTTTTAAATATTGAGCATTTTCTGCGTCTTTCAGGTGATTGGTATAATTTTTTTGGAAGATTTTTTTTTTTTTTTTCGGGTTCTATTTCATTATAAATGTGTATCTTCAACTTATCACACGTATTACAGGTATCTTTTTTGAGTGTCTTGAATTTTAAATTAAATCGTTGGTAAAATATTTTTTTATCGGATGTCATGCTTACAGGTTTTTCGGTTTCTTGGCTATACAGCTCATACATTTTCTGTATTGTCTTTTCCGGAAGCAAAAATTCAGCGCTTGTTTGTTCTCGTCAATAGTAAGATTTATATTTTAGAATTTTCTTAATTTGTTTAATTATCTCCTAAATTTTGGCGTCTGGAAGTTTATTTTGCCCTCCTTGTTTAATACCTCTTTGGTCAGTTAAAGAAATTTCACCTCTAAATTTCTTTAGGGCGGTATTAACTCTAAATGTTGTGATGTTAAACGTTTTAATACACATTTCACGGCATACCATTTTGTCTTGTATTTTATAGATCCTTAAAAATTTTTCTTAAAATAAAATTCACCTGGCAATCATATGAGCCCAATGACCAAATCTTTTTAAACTCTAACTTTCGTATCTCGACAGGTACATGTTCGGTACAGTTTTTTTTTTATTGAATTAATGCCTCGACAACTATGATCATTGGCATGGTACAGTCAGGTACCTAGTGTAGTGTGTGTGTGTATAGAGTAATTGTCTTAATACTTAGCAAAATCGACGTCATTGTCTTTGCTAAGAGACGCTAATTTTATCCGAACGTCTGCGGTCCCTCCGGTGAGTACCGATCACGGTACATTTTAAAGTGCAATTACAACCGTAATTTAAAAAATTTTTGGTTTATTTTCTCTTCCTTTATGGTTGTAATATTTTTTATTGCTATTCCTGTTCTTTTTCATTTCTGTCAGTGTTTTGATTGACGAATTTCCGTTTTCTTCCTTTTTTTGGTCTTCCCCCTCGTAAATTGTATTTTCTAATGTGGTTTCTGTTAAAACGCTATCAGCGATTGTTCATTCACATGATCTTGTTCTGAAAATGTTGGTTCATAATCTACTAATCTATAACTAGAAGAATAATCACTTAAAGATTCGTAATTAGGGTCGCGAATGGAGTAATCGTCATCCTCCGAACCACCTGGATGGTTTATTTCCAAATAAATATCTAAAATAAAAAATAAAACATAAATCATTAATCCCACAAAAGGAACATGTAATTTTCTTACCATCAATCTTTTGAGTCAATACTTTCTATTCCTCCCTGATAAAAGGTTTGTTAATAGATCCACACTCCTTGATTAAAATTCCACGAGGAAACTAAGTTCCTGTAGCTGGCTGTATACCATATATCACAAAAATTTGTTAAAATCCTTTATAAAAGGTATATAAAAATGCCCCAAACGGGCTATCACAAACACATTGCAAAACGTTTTCGGATTAAACAATCCATCATCAGTGTAAACGGTTGTACATGCTAGTAGCCACCAAAATATATGGGTTAAAACCCTTTAAATGTTTTAAATTTGTAGTTGTTTTACATTTATAAATACTAATAATGTAAAACAACTACAAATTTAAAACATTTAAAGGGTTTTGACCCATATATTTTGGTGGCTACTAGCATGTACAACCGTTTGGGCGTCTTTTGTTATAGTTACTTCCTTACTAGTAAGTGAAATTTAATTATTTGTAATAGTATCAGCTACATTTTCATTTGTTTGAGAGGAGTCTAGTACTTTTTCAGTCCCTATTTCATTAAAACAACAAAAAATGTATTTTATTTAACTAATTTTATTTAAAAATTATTGCTTAAATCTTACCTGGCTCTTGTTCTTTTTGTTGAAGCAGAATAAAAATCTGACTTGTACGGGAACTAAACATGTATCGCAAAATAACACACTTTAGATTTATAAAATATCATTAGAAGACTTAAAATTTTGCTAATATCACGAGCCAAAATACACCAAACAACAATATTTTAAGGTTATGTGAAGATTTCATAATGCAGAAAACTACGAACCAACGCAGTGGCGTCAACAATTTCAGATTTTTCACAGAAGGCAACAACCAAGTGGATTGGTATTTTTCTGCAAAAAACGAAATCTTACAACGATGGGTTGGTTAATACAATGACAGTTATTAATTTTAATTGGTAGGTTTCTGCAGTTTAAAATATTTGACATATAGATAAATTTTATGTGCTTAGTACGAATTTAAGCTTATTGTGGGTTGGTAGCTTTCTACATAACTACGTCCATTTTATCATCGCTACGTAAAATAAATGCATTATTTTAAATACGAGCGTTTACTGTCAGTGCTATGCTCTAGGCGAGGATACCATGCGTTGGTCTCTGTAATAAACGCGCCCTTATTCAACTTGTTTGTTCCACCACCGCAGAACTAACAATATTTTAAGAAATTCATTGAAACAAAACGAAAATAAAAGAATAGAAGATGGTTAAGTCCTTTTTCATATTTTATTTAACAATAATAGTAGACTGAATACTTTTGTTTTTAACACTTCTATAAAATTTATTATAATTTATGGTGACTCTGACAAACGATTGCACGTCATAGAAAATATTTCTGCGAAAACGGCATTTGGGACATTTATGGCTAAAGTAGTGTAGTTTATAAAAAAGTACTTGTATAATTGGAAAAAACCACTTTTTATAATTATTTTAGATCGTTTGTAATGTGAAAATTTTAATTAATCATTTTTAGGCATATTTCAAATGCCTTACATTTGTTGCCAAAAATCAAAACCGAAATTCCATGCCAAAGGTTTTGAAAACTGGGTTTTGGCAATGAAAATTACATACCTACCGGTTAATGACAGAGTAATACATTTTAATGATCTGAATCGTAAAAAATATTAAAAATCGCACATTTTTAATTTTAGCACTGTTTAAAACTGACTTTAATTGAGGCAAAATATAAAAATTTAATACGAAAGCTGTACTCTTCACCTTTAAAACGCTTTTTGTTTTTTGTCGATAGGACACTCTAATCAACAGGTATCGAATTTTTATCGTCGAATTGATACAAATTTTATTTAAAATTGATTTCACGCGCGTAGTCGAGAACGATATTTTTCAAGCGATATTTTTAGGAGAACGGTTTATTTTAAACAAAAAGTGCTAATAAACATTTTTATGCAAAATTATCTCAGCCACATTTTTTTTATTAAAAATTTTTTTTCTACCACTCACAGATTCTTGGTAAATTAATTTTCTCCGTTTTTTCCTCCAAGAGGCGGTGGTGGTTTTAGGAGGAAGCCGGGGTAGGAATAGTAAACTTTTTGCATATTTTTAAGAGTCCTAAAATTACCATTTTCATAATTCGTGGCATATTCGTCTGTGACGACTGGAGGATACCTAAATTTATTTATCTCTCTCTTGTCGTTTCCTCATTGCTGAGGATCGTGATTCCCTACAATGCGGGCTGTCAATTCTCTCCATGTCTTGCGATTTTGGGCTGCTCTCATGGACTCGGAAAACGTCTCTCCAGTGGCTTTCTGTACTTGATCTGACCATCGGATAGGTGAGCGTCCTCGGCCTCTACGTCCTTCTACGTTTCCGCACACAATTAGTCTTTCTAAGTTGTCATTGTCTCTTCTCGCAATGTGGCCAAAAAACTTTAAAAACATTTGCAAGACACTGAGAGGAGAGTCTGGTCTGAATGTTTAGCTCTTCGAGAATCGACTGATTGGATCTGTGCTCCGTCCACGAGACGCGTAGCATTCGTCTCCAGCACCACATTTCGAATGCGTCAATCCTTTTTCCTATCCTCTGATTTTGTTGTCCATGTTTCGGCACCGTAACTAAAGATTGAAAAAACGAGTGTCCGTACCAGTCTCATTTTGAGTTTTTTTGGACAAAGAGCTTCCTTCCATATTTTTGACAGTCGACTCATCGCGTTCTTGGCCATTCCTATTCTTCTGCGAATTTCCGTATGGCAGGAGGCTGCATTGCTTAAGGAAGATCCTAGATACGTGAACTCTAGATACGTGAAATTTATTTATAACAAAGCTAAAAGATCTTTAACATTTAATAATGCGTTTTTTAGATGGCTCTGTTTGAACCCATTCACTGCCAAACTTGATTTTTTAAACTTTATAGCTTCTACAGATCAATTTTATGTTCTTAACTTATAGGAAAATATTTTAAAAAATTTTCACAATAGCCCTGTGTCTAAAAATATTTTTGTTCCAATTTTGAAACATGGCCACAAGTAGGTAATAAAAAATCAACAACGGCAATTTAAACTTAACATTTATTGAAAAAAAATGATAACATTTTGAGAGGATCAAAAATTGTGTTTGTTTTACAAATTTTGAATCTGTTTTGTTTTAAGGAAATTGGGTAATGCAGAACCGACATATTTTGTAAAAGAGATACTGGAATTTTTTGAAATATTGTTCCTTATTTTGTCTTATCAGGTTTTGTTTGTCGAGAATTGAGTAGTAGATATATTGCCACAATGTTTCTTGTAAACCTTCATAAATCCAATGGACGCGTACTTTCAACGAATTCATCAGCGTTAGATTGAATGTTAGTGTGGTGTTGAATTCTATATTGAATTCAACTATGCTAAATTCAAAATTTGCCAGCACCATTTATTGTAAATGTAAACAAACAAATGTAATGTAAACAAACAGGGTGCCACATAATATAGGTGGGCAGTTAAATGCGCCATGTATTTTATCCTTTTGATTTTAATTTCTAAACATATTTCTGTTTACAATAACTATTTTACTTTTAGATCATTAAAGATGAAGCACAAATATGGGCTTGCTTTTTTACTAACTTGGCTGCCAGTGATACTGACCATAAGAATACCTCCCAATCCCTGCCCTGATTTATTTCGGTACTACAAAGATCCACAAGGAAGAATATACGGAGAAGTACAACTGCCATACGACAGAGCCACGTTGTTAGTGTTTAGTGTAAATGCATCTTTCTTGGGAAATTTTAACCAACCGGTAAGTATTTTTGATTTTTTCTGATTATATGGCCTTCACTGCTTTTTGTCGCTTATTTTCAATCTTTAAGTATTTTTGACATTAGAGGTAAATGTATATATTTGGTATTAGACAAAGTCTTGCAAACGCTGGAGATGGAACATAAAGGAAAATTGATTAAAGAGCCAACAAAAAATAAAGTGCAAAAAACAGGGAACGATAAACAAAGAAAGACCTGAACAACCAACAACTTCTTTAATGACAGCGTAAAGAAACAATATTATTGCAAAAGAAAGAGATAAATAAGAAGCTAAAACGGAGAAAAAATAAAAAAAATCGGGGAAACCAATTAAAGGCAAAGAAAAATATTACTGGGATCCAGGAATATAAGAGGAAAAAATGAAGAGGAAAAAATGAAGAGGAATCGCTGCGGCGTTAGGTGAAAAAATGTAACGCTCCAAGAGTTGAAACAACACATCATTTAAAAATATAGGTTATTCCACGAATATACGACTGTTTTGGATTATTACTACAATGAATATTTTACTGTGCAAGTAGAAGTATGAAAGTAAATTGGTCTAATCTATATTCCAATAAAAAGGATCTACTGTTAGTATGACATCTAAACTAAAATTATTTCAGTTAATAGATTTTCAGATAGACGCAAAATTTATTTACGGAAACGCTCCTACAAATAAATACAATGACGTCTATGAAGCCAAATGTGTTTATCAGACATTTGTGTTAGGTTTCGGTTAAATGTAAACACCAAAGAGGCTTACCGGGTTTGTTTATTATTACATTATTTTATTTCTTTATTAGGTACTACATCTGTAATAAAAAGAAATATGCTATTTTTAATATAAATAAAAAAAATTGTCAGAACGATGGTTCAGAAACCAGAAAAAGAATCTAATATTTCACTTATTTAGTTTAGTTTTAAATATTTGTGTACTTTGAGTGGATGTACTCTTAAAAGTTCCGAAAGTAACGGGTATAACATACCGGCTATTGATAGTTAAAGTACCGAGTCGTTACAGATATTAAAAAGTAACGAAAATTTAGATACAGTTTTATATATAGCCGACTGATTTCAGTTTTAAAAACCGTAGGTGTAGATGTGTCCGGTGAAGAGAGGTGTCCATTCAGAGAGAGTTTAGTATAGTGTATTTGTTTATTGAAGCCAAAAATGCCAAGACAGTTCAGTCCGCACATACACGTGTGTATGATGCACTCTGTATTAGTGAAATAAAACGTTCGTTATTTAGTCCGTTTTGCAAAAAGCAAAAAAAAAAGAGGACAAAGTAAACAAAATGTCGCACAATATAAATCTCACCAGTTGTAAATTTATATATATTATACATTATAATATTATTACATTATACCATGCGGTCCATATGTATGGAATAAATTCATTTTAGCGTTATTAGTACTATATGAAAAAAACCTAAAACAGGTCAATTTTTATTCTTAAATTGACAATTTACAATATGAAAATAATATCTCCCTTCAGCACCCCCTTTAAATTATAAGCATCCCCTCGAAAATTTTAAATAGCAAAGGGGGTCGTGTAGCACTTTGTTAGAAAAGGATTTTAGTCCTCTGTTCAGCAATATTACGTTTTTAAGTTTGGTGCAATAGTAACCTAGAAAATTGATTTTAAAATGTAAAACTTTGATAATGTCTTTACCACAAAACTTTAGGTTGAATGAAGATAATAATGTCACATAATATTTAGAATGTATTTTTCAATGTACTTTACAATTAAATTAAATGTTCAAAATGACCACTATTCACTTTTTGACAATACCCGAGGTGATTTTGGAATTCTCGTACATTTTGTACGACTCCGGGAGTTATTTTGTTAATTTCTTCCGTTATCCCAACTTTTCAATCAGCAACACTGTTTGGTCTAGTAAATTAGACTTTAAATAACCCCATAAAAGGTAATCGAGAGGAGTCAAATATAGGATCTAGCCGGCCATTTGATTGTTCAACGTCTTCCAATCCCCTATTGGGAAAAACCTCGTTTAAATAATTTTTAATTGTAAGTGCAAAATGCGGTAGAGCTCCATCTTGTTAGTAGTAGAAAGGTCCATCTATCTAGTTTGGATGATTAACATTAGGAAAAAATCTTCGTAATGTAGACACTAAAAGTTAATCAAAAAATCTAGATAAACCTCATCATCAACTGCGCCCTCAAAAAAATAAGCACAAATAATTTTATTGTTAATAATAATAGCCCAATCCTTAATTTTTTAGGATATTGCGTGTGAGTCTCACACACCGAGTGAGGATTTTCTCTGATCCAATATCTACAGTTCTGTCTGTTAACCGTTTCGTTTAAATGAAACGTCGCTTAATCAGAAAAAAACTATTTTGTTTATGAACTGCAAATCTGAGTTCATTCTGCCCATCATTATTTCACAGAATTCTTGCCTTCTATAAGGATCATCTTTATTTAACTTCTGAACTAACTGAACTCTGTAAGGGTGGTACTTTTCTTTATGTAAAAACTCTCAAAACAGACGATTTATTTACTTGTCATTGATAGCGGCAAGTTCTCTTATGCAGATTTTCCTCAATCTCTAGAAGTACATCTAACTTTTTTTCATCAATAAATTTATTATTTCTACCTGGTTTTTCAATATTTTTTACATGTCCAGTATAACGAAAGTTCTTGCAATTGTGCTAACTATAGACTACAAAACTTGTTGACCAGGGTATTCATTATTAACATTTCACAAACCTCCTTTTGAGCTCTTGTTTTATTACCACAACCAATCATAGGTAAAATTTATATTCTTTTAGTTGCGGACAAATGAGCCAAATTAAATTTAATACGCGCACAAATATTATAAAGTACATCCCAGAGGTACTTTTCAGTGCGTCATTAATTGTGACGTCATAGAATGAATTAGGTGTGTCGAGAATTATTTCATATAATTATTGAAGAATCTGACAGATGTCACGATCGTACTTAGCCACAGGGGGTAATCACGTATATTAATAAAAATAAAAAGTAAACAATATTGTTTATTCATTTATAAATATGGAAAAATTTTAAATTGTATCTTCTCCTTTTGTATTCACCTCAGCAGTCGTATTTTTAACTTAAAGTTTACGTTTCTACAGCAGAGAAGCCTTTGTATTCTTGTAAATGCACTTCTGGCCTGTTTGATTCTGATTCGTATTTTTTGAGAGATGTCATTGTTTTCATTAATAGTTGTATCTAGGAATTTGAATTCTCTTACTATTTCAATAGGCTGATTCTGTACATATATCTCACGAATGTCCTAAGTTGTCTTTGTTAATATCATATATTTCTTGCTCTGTTGAGTGATGGTCCATATTCTTCTTCGCTTACTGCGGCCACCTAATTAAGAAGTATCTTTAGGTCTTCATGTGATTCGGCTAAAAGAACTGTATCATCAGCATATCTCAGGTTATTTATGATCATGTCATTATTTCTAATGTCTACGTTTCGTTAATCCATTGCCTTACTTAATATGTCTTCGGAGTATACATATTAAATAGTACTGGTTTATGTATACACCCTTGTCGAACAACTCTTTGCACTTCTATTTCTTCTGATGTTATGTCTTTTATTCTCACTACTGCTTTTTGGCCATAGTAAAAGTAACACAAAAAAGACTGTTTTCAAAAATTTATTAGGTAATTTATAAATTAATTACATAAATAAAATAAAATTTTATTTTGTACGTTTGTATGTACAAAATTAGACTTTTAGCAGATAAAATTATAGAAAATACTGCCAGTGGGGACGTTTACATTTCCTTAGACAAGTCCATGGTCAAATATTTTGGTCATAACTTGGCTAAACAGTTAATTAGAGAGAAGCCAGTCAGATGTGAATATAAGAATTGGATGATAACTGGTTCCACTGGATATGATTATGGTTTTCACGTTTGCTGCCGAAAAAAAAACAAATGGTACTATTAAAATAGACCACTTGAAGCTAAAATAGTAATTGATATTTTGCAACAGTTGCCTGAACCATCAACAAATGAAATTTTTTCGGTAAACATTTCATGACAGATTAACTAATGATATATCTGAAACAAAAAAATGTACAAATGTAAAACAGGAACTGTAAAATGTCCAGTAATGGAGAAAGCTAATAAAGAGTAAGCTAATGAAGAAAAATGCATATGATTATAGATTTGACAAAACTAATGAAATTTTGTGTGTGAAATAGTATGACAATAGTGTTCTATGTTACTCAATTATGATACCATTGAACCTGAAATAAACAGTAAATAAAACAATTTTATTTTCCAATTGAAAATATTTAAACAATTTTAATATTAGAACTTGTTCTTTTTACGTATATCTTGTCATCTTGTACAAATACAAATAAAACCACAATCACAATACTATGTGAAACAAAATACAAAATAAAATTATACAAAACATATACCAAAGAATATAAATATATTATATAGCGTCTATATTCTTTGCAAATACTGACCTGAACGACAGCCGTCACTTGCTGTTGGAACACTTCGAAAGAATGGCCAGCATGGACGAAATTTTACGTCAACGATCAGTAATAGACGTATTTGATTGGCTAGAGAAAGCGCGCATCTAAATATCAACGAATCAAACGTAGGTTAGGAAAGAACCTCTTATGTATGTAAGCTTATTCTAACGCTGCAATATAGTTCTGTTTAATCACCGAACTACCGCTTTCTCCATCACATCCAACTTAATGCATTAGAAAGAAATCGAAAAACTGTGACGCACTGAAAAGTACCTCTGGGATCTTTTATACTCACGTCTTCTAGTAACCTTAATAGACCACAGCAAAAGTTAGGATAACGGAAGAAATTAACAAAATAACCCCCGAGGTCATACAAAATATTGTATGCGAATTCCAAAATCGCCTCGGTTATTGTCAAAAAGTGAATAATAGTGGTCAAGTGGAACATTTAATTTAATATTGTAAAAATTAATTTTGTAAGTCATAATTGCCCAAACTCAAAAAACTTTACATTGCT